ATAACATTTTACTAGATATTTTTTGAGACACTTCTATACAGCTTAAAGTGACATTTAATGGCTTAACTGGGTTAATTAGGGTAACTAGGCAAGTTAGGGTAATTAGGCAAGTTATTGTATGAGGATGGTTTGTTCTTTAGACTATTGAAAAAATATAGCTTAAAAGGGCTAAGAATTTTGATATTTATTTATAATATTTTTTTTTTGGCAACACTTTATTTTGATGGTCCCTATTGCATATTTTGTTGACTAACAGTTTACTTTTCATTTGACTAATAATTACTTCTCATTTGAGTATTATTAGACTGTCTGCTTAACATCTGTTGATTCTGCTCCTTCGTCATTTAACTGACTATAAGAAACGTTGCAAGTACATGTAATTTACACTAACCCTAACTCCAACCTAAGAGTCTACTTATAATCTATTGAGAATTAGTTGGCATGTAGATGCAATGTACAGTAAATTCAACAAAATGCATTAGGCAATTAGGCAAGTTGCTATATAGTTACATAGCTATATAGTTGGTTTTCTTCTGAATAATATACTGTATTATTTCATATGATAACTTTTCAGGCAGTGGAGCGTGCTGGAAGGACTAAAATCTCTGCAATGACAGCTCCTGATAGTATCACAGCGAGACACAGAGAGGTATTTCTATTGACTCTTACTTTATCTTAACACGAAACATCTCAGAAATCCTAATGTGTTTTGTCTGCCGTCAGAATGGGGATGAGTACATAACTGTCAGCGCAGCCGATCCGAACGTGGAGCCAAACGCGACTGGCGTCGAGGAAAAGCCTCCAGTTCTGCTGTCCACCTCTCAGCTGGTCCTCAGAAGGGGTTTGACCACACTTGCCGCTCTCCTCATCCTCGCTGGAGGGATAACCGTTCATCTCATTGTGCCCTTACCTCAGATGTTTTACGGTGCTGCTGCAAATTTTACTTTAAACTCCAACTTTACCACACCTTCATCCTTTATTCATTCCACTTCTGCGTCATTATAAGCCTAGAGCTGTAGCTGATCATACTGTAGACTCTACTGCCCTACACTCAAGCTGGCCCTCTTGGTAACCCAGCTACTGTCAAAAACATGTAAATAATAATGCAAATCAACTTGATTTCAAAACCTTGATGCCCATTTGACCATCAAAATATCTGAAACACATTTGAAATTTATTCATTATAAATGACAACCTTACACAGGATGCTGTGTCCCTATAATGCATGGAAACTGCCTTGATTATTTAAAACGTTTTTTGATATCATTTTGACATCAAGTTGCTCATTTGGGAAATTAACATGAGACTAATGGTAGTTAATATTATATATACTTCAAATACTATAGTGTTCTTGAACCATACTATAGTAAGGTGTACTATATTATATTATAGTATTTACAACACCTTGCTAGGGTGGCATGGTGGCTCAGTTGTTTAACACTGTCGCCTCATAGCAAGAAGGTCGATGGCTCGAGTCATGGTGGGGCCAGTTGGTGTGGAGTTTGCAATCTATTCTCCCCATGTTGGTGTGAGTTTTCTCCGGGTGCTCCGGTTTCCCCCACAGTACAAAGGCATTCATAGATTTTTGAATAAACTAATTGAATAAAAAATTGCGTCAAAACCAGTTAAATCCACTTGTGCTTTTTTTGCAAAAACCTCTAAATCCACCTATCGGTACAACACAGTGTAATTAGTTGAAAATCACTAAAGAAACAATTAGAAATTATTTTACCAAACATAAAATACGTACCCAATCCACATAAAATTAAAAATATATAAATCTGTCAAGTAATTGGCGGTTCATGCCGCAGTGATAAACCAGGGAAAAAGAAGAAGAAAAAGGAGTGAATGAAATCTGTCAAGTAAGTACATTAATCAATAACATTAAATCTGACATTAATTAAATCTTAACAATCTGTTGTCATTTCTGATATTTGGGATTTAGACCTTATATAATTAAAGCAATGTAAACATTGTAAACTTAGCTTGGTAAATTCAAATAATGTAGTGTAAAACATTACGAAACCTCAGTATCTGTGCATTGTCCACTAATATAAAAAGCTTCTAAGAGGTATAAGTAATATAAAGTAATATAAATAATGTGAAGTTTTATACATTATATTTATCTTTTAAAAAAATTGTCTAAATTAGCAAATTATACCCAAGCTAGGCCTATTGGGCAAAAAGGTGATGCCTCTCAGACAATTTTAGAAGGTGTCATTCATTAATTCTCACCAGTACAGCACAGTACTTAAGGTCTTGTTCTCTTGTTTATCTTCATAGCATTCATGTGGGATAAAAGAACTGCATCTTAACTCTGTCTTTGGTTACAGTACATGGAGTTGCCATTTAATTGTTTAGTAAATCGGACTCATTCAAAGTAGCTCAGACAGGCTCATCCAGTTCATCAAAGTCTGTAACAAGAATCAGTCCAAGGCACTCGAGTAAAGTGAAAAAATTAAAAAGCCTTTATTCACATGGCTAGATCTCTAAAAACCAACGCGTTTCGGCAGAAGTCTGCCTTCATCAGGGTAACAGTGATCAGGTGCGTCTAGAGTCTCTTTTGAGTACTACGGTCACATGACTCATTTAAACATCTCAAATGGCACTCAAATAATTTAACAAGCAAACTCTACTACCATCATAAATTCGGCATAGATACACAAACACCCACTTGCATATGTGGGAAAAGAGAGAGAGAGAGAGAAGAAAAAAGAATATATATATATATATACATACATACACACACACACACACACACACACACACACACACACACACACACACACACACACAGAAACATGCGCACACACACACACACACACACACACACACACTAACTAAATGAATGGTGTTGCACTGAGAGGACGGCTCGTACCTGTGGTAGCTGCTAGCACGTCTTTGCAGAGCTTGAGCCAATGAGAGAGCTTCTCCACTGCCAGAGACGACAGCATGTGACCCAGCGTGTCGTGAATGTCGGAGCACAACTTCCTGTCGGTCTCGCGGTCCAGCATCCCGAAGAGAACGCCCTCC